CTATTTGTATTGCAGAACTGAAAGATTACCAATACAAGGTCATCTGGAACGTCTTCTGTCTCCTGAACAGTAAACTGCAACCGTGAACATGGTCCTAGAAAATAATGCCATAACATTACAACAAATACAAAGCAGAGTAATAGAAAACAATAAGATATTTCAACATACTGATAGGGTAAGCTTCACAACACTGCACTGTGTCTTGCTCAGAAATAATATGAGGATGAAGCAGGTCTACAGGGTGCCATTTGAACGCAATTCAGAAAGAGTTAACAAGAATTGCAATATAACTATGTGCAAGTAAGTCCTATTCAGTCCCACAACTAGTGCATACTCTCAACACTGTATAAATTATACATATTTCAGTATTGTAATCATAATGATTGTGCTTCACAGTAGTGACCACTCCATGTCTATTTCTGATATTGTCATGTGTATTTCACAGAGTCCTTGAGTTAGAGGTGGCTGCAGAGGAGCACCAGTTCATCTTCATTGATGAAGTTGGAATCAACCTCACAAAAAGACGAAGGAGGGGAAGGAATATCATCGGCCAGCGTTCCATTGTTGAAGTCCTTGGCCAGCGCGAAGGAAAAATCACAATGTGTGCAACGATTACCCACCACAGCGTCATCCCTCACCATGCTACCCTTGGCCCCTACAACACTACCCATCTGATCACATTCCTGGACACCCTACACAACACACTCATTCCACCAGATCAGGCAGACGGCCCAGAGCAGCTCAAATACGTTGTCATTTGGGACAACGTAAGTTTTCACAGGGCTGCTCTGGTTCAGAACTGCAAATAGTCTCTCTACTTTTAAAACTCAACTGGAGACGCACTTGTTCACCTTAGCTTTTGAAGGAGTATGATACTTGTATTGGTTATATATTTGTTTTTATTTTCATTTATGTGTTACATGTCTTTTGTTGCTGCTGTTTGTTGTGTATGACTTGCTTTTATTGCTACTGCTTCATTATTGTAAAGCACTTTGGTAGGCCACTGGCTGTTTAAATGTGTTTAAATTAAATGTGCTATACAAATAAAATTGACATTGAAATAGCTGGTTCACTGCCCACCCATGTTTTTTAGTTATTTATCTCCCTCCATTTTCTCCATTCCTCCTGGAAAGTGAAAGTGTATGACCAAAATCCACAAATGCATATACCCATTCTCCAAGCTATGGAAGACACGTGGCGATATAGCAGCTGATGCTTTTCATGGCTGGATTCGCCAGGCTAGGTGATATTTCCCCCGCTGCTTGGCCAGCAGAAACATTGCTTGTGATGTGGATGAAGTGCTGTGGCCAGACCAAAACAGAAGAGAGGATGCAGCATAGTTTTTTTTTTTTTCACTGTAACTGTATACAGTAAATTCTTCTGTTGTTTTGTATGTAGACCACAAATTTTACCTCTTGCAAGTATCCTTAGTGTAGGTCACATGCAGTTACACATGAAATTACAGGGTTAACATAAGTTTCATGCACTGAAGAAAATGCTAATTAACTCATAATTCAGAATATGAGGACTTGATGTGCCATGAACAATTCGATTCAAAGGTGGATTTGAAAACAGGTTTATGAAGTTGCAAAAACCACCAAACTGATTCCAAAGGTCTGTGTAAAAATCAGAATACTTTAGTGTCACGCCCACACTAAACAAAATAATGCCACAATAATGACAGTTTCATGTTCTCTCAGTTAAACACTCTTCTCTTAACAAAGTGGTCCCTCTCATGTCTTAGTGCCACAAATTTTTATCACGGTGTGCAGAGGTTTGGTTTTCAACAGCTACTAATGTTTCATTCCTGTCTCCAAAAACGGTTGAATTAAAATAACAACTCGTAATATTTTCGTTTTCAGTGGCGGTAGAGATCAGGAAGAATACATTTAGAAGGTTAGCAGCGGACCAAAACACTGCCATCTTTGTTATAGACCGTTGCCATGGATCTTCTTCTCTGACTTCACTATCTGCCTTTTTTTGACAATTTACCGCCCCCTTTGTCCATATAGGGAATAACTCCAGGTAAAGATATTTTCTCCCCTGACGGTAAGGTCCACTTGAGCAATGCAAGACGCTACTGCGAATAAAAATACTAAAGTATTTCATAATTGATTAACCTGAGCTTTAGGCCCCTGTTCCTTGAAGTCTCACTATTTCTCTGTGTTTGTGTAGTATTGCACATGCCTACCACAGAAAATGTTACTAACTTTTACTCTTTTTGTACCGATTCCTGCTGATGACACACGTATATTCAGCCTACCCTTTCTTCAGGATTTCTGGCTGCAGTGTTCTTTTTATCCACTGGGTGGCAGTGTAGGATAACGGAATACAAACAACAGTAAATTCATAGTGTAGTTTTTATTGTAGTCTTTTTTTAAACACTGTAAAAAGGATAGGGTAGGCCTCTTTGCCGTTACCTAAGCATGCAACAGGATTTTTAACATTTACCCTTACAGTTTGTCTCGATTTCTAAGACACATTTCTCGAAAGTTGCTATTCTTTTCTCTGAACAGTGAACACAAAACCCAATTTTCAAGCTACATTCACAAAACCTCAGACTTCTCTTGCAAAACCAAACTTTTACCTCAAAACAGTTCAATCTGTGCTCAAAATGTGCCAAACAAAATTAAAAACACTACTGAGCAGTCACTAAAGACTGCATAGAAAAATAGAAAACACAATGCTCGGGAAATGAAGCTGTAGAAAAAGATATTTATTGTTCACTATAGGCTGAATGCATGTTCCAAAACAAGAAACCTGTGCATTTAGCACTTGAACATAGTTAATTAAAAAAAAAAAGTACAAAACCCAGAAATCTTGTGCATTCAGCACCTGTATATAGTAAGCCTATGTAAAAATAAAATACAAAATATATACAAATGAGAGGTGCATTACCCAGCCACAGCATCTTTCTCTGCTCTGGGTCAGGCCACAGGACTTCATCCACATCTCAGACCACAATTTGTCTGGCCAGGCAACGGGGGAAAAAGCCCTTGGCATGCCGTATCCAGGCTTGGCATAACTCCACACCTATGTCACAACAGGCAAGTTCCATGGCTTGCAGGAGATTTACCCTGGTGTAAGGATGGCATTCATATACCTTCCACCGCCATGAGGAGAAGAACTCTTCAATGGGGTTCAGGAAAGGAGAGAATGGTGGAAGGAAAAGATTGATAAAACCTCGGTTCATATTGAACCACTCTAACCTGGAGGGCTCTGTGAAAACTCACATTGTCCCAAACAACAACATAGATGGGATGCTCATCCTGCTGCCCTAACAGAGCATCTTGCATGTTGTTGAGGAAAATGAGTGGCTGGTGAGTGTTGTAGGGCCCCAGGTTGGGCGCGATGGTGGACAACCCCATGATTGCCGATAGCAGCACACAATGTGACAATGCCATCACGCTGCCCAGGGACACCAACAAGTTCTCAGCTCTCTCCCCAGGAAGCTCCACAAACATTCACACCTGGAACCACATGACCCAGGTGGCATGAGTCATGTGGTCACATGACAGGAGTCGCTAACGACCCTTTCAGGTTAACGACTTGGGGGGGGACACACCCAGAGATGGGTTTCTACGACCCATTCTTTTCAGCTCCACCCAGTCGTTATCTGTTCCCCCTTCTCCAGCAAGATAAATATCTGCTCCTGACACTAGCAACATTTAGAACTGAAGAAGCTTCTTGGATAAGAGGCGAAACGTCTTCTCAACTCTACACAGTCCAGTTGCCTGGTTTAAGTCTTCAAGATCCTTTACAGCTGTTCTCATGCGCAGTCTGTGGCGCTTGAGAACACAATCAACAGTTGAGAACCTGACACTGTTGATACCCTCAAAATTTACATGGTCCTCAATAATCTTGTGCTGAATTTCACATAGTTTAATACAGTAGTTTTCACAGACCATATCAACAATAAGGGTCCCTTGGTGTGGGGAGAACATACCTCTCCTCCCACCCCTGTATGGCAGTCTTTCAATTCTACAAAAAGAGAACATGCAGTGTGGAATACTAGGCCTACAAATGGTTAGCCTAAACCTCCATTACAATACTACAGTACATTGGCACAGTGATGTACTGAAACATATCTACAGTATACTGTGGTACAGTATATAGTGTACCCATACAAAATTTGCAGTTAACATTTACATTCTATAATGTCCAAAACGGTAGTTACCTGTTCTCTTCTCTAAGTCTTCGGATTATGGTGGACACAGGGAATCTACTGATGTTTGGTTGCACCCTTTGTCTGGCCTCCCTCATGCTCATACCACAGACAAGAACATGGTCAATCACAGTAGCTCTGATTTCATCAGATATTACTGTTCTTTGTCTTAGCTGACCACCTCAACCTCTTCAACCACCTCTCGCACAAACATCCCCCTCTCAGATTTCTATCCATTGTAGTGCCTCACAAAGCAGTGCTCTCTGAACTGGCTTATATATGCTCCCTCACATCATTAGCCATAAGTGTGGTCAGTTTTGATTTGCTGTGTTCAACGAGTGACACCTGTGCTTTACTTGTGTTTGACTTTTGCCACCTTTGCTCACCATTATGCAACACAGATGCATCACAATGAAAATGTGTCAGCAAGTTGTGTCTAAACAGGTGATAAGTGCTTATGGTTTTGCCAAAAGAGGGACTGATTGAATCAGTGGGTTCAGGCAATACAGCATTTAGTTCAGACAATAGGGTTAAGTGTTTCAGCAATTGAGAAAAACTGTACTTTTCAGGTATCGGTACTAGTATTGTGTTAAATCAGAAATATCTATAGTTAGTCTGTGTAGTTTTAATTTACAGAATAAAAACTATGTTGTTGTACAACAGACTTAAAAAATGAGACTAAAATAGAAAACTCCAGCATTCAACAGGGAAACTGTTCACTAAAGAGAGAAACTGGTTTGTTTCTCATAGACTAATCACTCCTGTCGCCCCCTGCTGATCATTAGGAAGAATGCAGGAGTGAAGCACTTAATGTTCGTTTTACTTTCAACACTTAGCTTTTTTTTTTCTTTTTCCTTTTTTTTTTTTAACTCTGATATGTTGACCTTTGACCCCCTCTTGTCTCAGGTGGTTTCTCATTTTCTGTTACTCACTTTCATTCCCTGAACAATCTCTCTCCCCTCGTGCTCATTAATTAATTCTCAGTGGTCATTAAGGTGTCGTGGGCCAAGCTGCTGATGAATATATTTAACCTGAGTCTCAGTGGATGGCATCACTGTCAGGGAGGAGGGACACCTGCACTGAGTATGGTTATGGCCAATATGTGTGTGTGTGTGTTTTTCCTTCATAATGTTTTTGTGCACGCTTAGACCTAGTGTGGTGTTCGAGTGTGGGGGCATGGTCATTGAACGAAGAACACACGGGTTATCACAAGGTCAACATCCCACTCGCTTAGGGTAGGCCTATATGTGTGTGTGTGTGTGTGCTTGATACTTTCTGTGTGCGTGTGTGTGTGTGTGTGTGTGTGTGTGTGTGTGTGTGTGTGTGTGTGTGTGTGTGTGTGTGTGTGTGTGGCAGTGAGAGGAAGGAAGTCTAATTAGAGCATTAATTAAGAGGCTAATGGTTTATTGAATAAATCCTTCGGTCATTAACAGAGCACACTGCCTCCTCCTCTCTCTCCTCCTCCTCCTCCCTCTGCTGTGGTATCTCTCTGGCGACACTGATGTAACTTTGGACTAACAGACCAGGTGCTCACTTTCAGGCAGGGCTGGATCTGGAGGTCTTACGGCCGAAGGACAGGATTTGATGTTCCATCCCCAAATCTAGCACATGATTATGGAGAGTACAGTTATATCAGAACTCTTAAGGATAGACATTTAGTTGTGCATGACTTTATAGTTTAATAATGCAGGCCCTGTTGCATCAAAAAAATCCACAATACGTGTTTTATATTGATTTGATTTGATTACAAAGAACCTTCCTGGAGCGGTAAACTTACCCTGATCAAGATCTTGGCCTCCCTGTGATCAAAGAAACATGATTGGTGGTAATCATTGATGTCTCAAATATATGCTCTACCCGTGGAAAACTATGTGGTCTTTCATTGAAACCTATATCTCTGAAGATACATTACCCTGTTTGCTGTATGTCAGGTTTGATTCTCAAACAACATTAATCCACTGAAATGAGGAGTCACACTTCCACTCTGCCTCTCATGTCTGCACTTCCCTGATGTTCATCAGTAGTATATTTTATAAATCCATCCAATCAACTCAACTTACATTTTAAATATTTACAAGACCTCCATAGTAAGGCAGGGAGGCAGAGGAGTCACCTTGCCCAGAAGGGGGATACAGGGGTACACTCCAGGAGGTAGATCCTAAGGGGACTGAACAGTGAGCGCCTTGGTGGGCTGTGGTCCATGTGGGACCAGGTTTACCTCAGCCTGAAAAAATATCATGTAGCCACCACCCTGTGGGCCCACCACCTACAGGAATGAGCATGTGGTCTGGTGTGTTGTAGGCATTGATCCGATTTGAACACTAGATGACCTGCTGGGTCGATGAAGCATGTTAATGGTATGTTAACATATCTTAATGATGGTTTTAAAACAAGTTTTGAACTGGCTTTTTAATGTTTTTTATTTCTTCTTTAAGAATTAGCATATAGGATATAAAATATTTTTCCTATAGATGACTCAGCTGAATTTAGACTTTTGCATTGGCTCATCTGTTCAACACTGTATAAACAGTCTATTTACCATTTAAAGGCAAATCTTCAAATTTAATACCTTTAATTTTCAGCAAATTTGGACAACTTGTGGACGGATTTTTCCAGATTTGAACATTTTAAAACCTTTTCAATATCCTTGGGGACTCTGTGAATGAACGATTATCATACCAATAAAACTTCTCCATATTACATATGTGGCTGATGAAAACACTGAGTGGCTGGTAACTTTAGAGAGATAATGGTCACAGTGGCTGAAGAGTAAAAAAGCTCAAGTCAAGTCCTGGTTGTTAAGCTGGATTGATTGATTGAATGTGTGATGAGCTGCAAACACCATTTAACATAAAAAATGAACACATTAAGTTGAATAAGTCCATATCTCTGTGGCGCACTCATGTGACAGCACTGACCAATCAGCAGTCTGTATTTGCAACTGTCAAAATATCTGATCTGGAATGAGGGAGGAGACAAACTCATGTGTTTTATGAGTTAATGTCTGTGACTGCCTTACAACTCATTCTCTTCAAACATCCTCCTGGCAGGAAATAAACGATGAATCTCCTTCATGAAAGCAAAAGTAGAAAAGTGTTATTTTAACAGTGATACAAACACTCTGTCTATGAAGGAGTAACTTGATCATCTCCACTCTTCTTGAACTTGGACAAATAAAACTGCACCCTGATAACTTCTCAACCAGACAAACCAGGAACCAGTCTTTATCTCTGCAGACACACACACTGACCGATGAGTACTTTCACTTTGAGAAATAAGAGAGACGACGTCCACAGAGAGACGACAGCTAAATACTGGAATACTGCAACTTTAACCAAGTACTGACTGCAGACTGAACGGAGCTTCAGAAAAGACAGGAGTCAAAGTGAAAGTAAGTTCCAGTAAACTCTGTGGAGGAGGGAGTGGAGCCTCACCAGTCGGAGCTGTTTGAACTTTCTGCCTGTCCAGAGTTTAGCTTCACTCAGAGGAAAATGGCGTCTTGTTTAGAAGAGGATCTGTGCTGCTCTATCTGCCATGACATCTTCAAAGATCCTGTGGTTCTCTCATGTAGCCACAGCTTCTGTAAAGACTGTCTGCAGAGCTGGTGGACAGAGAAACAGGCCCAGGACTGTCCAGTCTGTAAGAGAAGATCTTCAAGATCTAAACCTCCTTGTAACTTGGTGTTAAAGAACCTGTGTGAGACCTTCTTACTGCAGAGAGATCAGAGAGCTTCATCAGACTCTGAGGCTCTCTGCAGTCTGCACTCTGAGAAACTCAGACTCTTCTGTAGGGATCATCAGCAGCCAGCATGTCTCGTCTGCAGAGACTCTAAAATACACACCAACCACACATTCAGACCCATGGATGAAGCTGCTCCAGATCTCAGAGACCAGCTCCAGAAAAACCTGAAACCTTTACAGAAGAAACTGGAGAGTCTCACTAAAATCAAGAAGAACTGGGATGAAACAGGAAACCACATCAAGGCCCAGGCTGCAAACACAGAGAGGCAGATAAAGCAGCAGTTTAAGAAGCTTCACCAGTTTCTAGAGGAGGAAGAGGAGGCCAGAATCTGTGCTCTGAGGGAGGAAGAGGAGCAGAAGAGTCAGAGGATGAAGGAGCAGATGGAGGCTGTGAGCAGAGAGATAGCAGCTCTTTCAGACACAGTCAGAGCCACAGAGGAGGAGCTGAGAGCTGCAGACGTCTCATTCCTGACAAACTACAAGGCTGCAGTGGAAAGAGTCCAGCAGCGCCCCCTGCTGGAGGATCCACAGCTGCCCTCAGGAGCTCTGATAGATGTGGCCAAACACCTGGGCAACCTGGGCTTCAACATCTGGAACAAGATGAAGGACATGGTCTCCTACAGTCCTGTGATCCTGGACCCAAACACTGCTGGTCCAGAACTCATCCTGTCTGAAGATCTGACCAGTGTGAGAGAAGGAGAGAAACAGCAGCTCCCTGATAATCCAGAGAGATTTTACTGCTCTGTCCTGGGCTCTGAGGGCTTCAACTCAGGGACTCACAGCTGGGATGTTGAGGTTGGGGAGAATACAGACTGGGAAATAGGTGTGTTTGAGGAATCTGCAGACAGGAAGAGAAACATTGACTCTGGATTATGGAGAATAGAGTTTTGGAATAATAACTACACAGCATTTACTCCATCAGGTGAAGAAGTTGGTCTGTCAGTGAGAGGATATCCTCAGAGGATTAGAGTCCATCTGGACTGGGACAGAGGAAAGCTGTCATTCTCTGATCCTGACACTAACACACACCTTCACACCTTCACACACACTTTCACTGACAAACTGTTTCCATACTTTTTTACTAATGAGTCAACTCGTCTGAAGATATTACCAATGAAGGTCTCTGTATCAGTGAAACAGGAAAGGTAGAGATGATGATGATGATGATGGTAAAGAAGAAGATGATGATGTTGAAAATGATGAAGATGGTGATGATGACGATATAAAGATGATGATGATGATGATGATGATGATGATGATGATGATGATGATGATTTTAAAGATGATGATGGTGATGATGACTTATAAAGAAAAAAATTAAGAAAAACATTTCCATATCTCAGGTTCCTCTTGCCCCCCCACCCACTGAAGTCCTTGGTAGTCAGTCTCAGTTTTTCCCACCACTTTGACACCCCTGCTGTTACAGCATTCTTGGATTGTACTTGGATTGTAACAGTGACATAAATGCATATTTCACCTGTTTGTTGTCACCGAGTGTTGTGATGGACGATAAAATCAGATAGATGTTATAACACAGTTCATACTAGATTCTTTCCTCATCCATGGGGTTTTATTAATGATGCACCACAAAAATTGCTGTGCTTTTTTATATCATGATATGAAGTTTGTAAATTAGTAACAGAGATCGGTCTTTAATCACTTATTCTGCTTTTTCTACACATTTTCAGGATTAATAATGCCAGTTTAACACTATATTTCAGTTCTACATGTTTACTATAACTTAAAGGTATCAGTCATTTTCTGACTCTTCAACATGATGTTTTATCAAATGATTGCCCTTTGTGTCTGCTCCTGAATCTCACTGTAAACCCTCTCTTTGACCGGCTGTAAAGGCCTTTACAAATGCATGTATGTGTGTGTTTGTAGTGTATCATGTACCTGAGCTACAGACCAGCACCTCTGCTCCTCTAATCCTCTCCATCTATCCTTCTCTCTGTCTCTGTCTCCATCTATCTGTTCACTTATCAGTCCATCTTTCATCAGGTCATCATCTGCACCATTTCGGCCTTCAAACACTCCCCACCCCCCAACCCCCACCACCACCACCACCCCACCCTACCCCACTCTCTGCTGATATCTGTGTCCTTCACAAACACACAAGCACAGATCAGAAATAGTTTGGATGATTTTGACTGTACCTAGACTTAAGATTTAACGCTTCGATGCCTGCACAGTCTCCAAATAGTAATTCAAACTGCTCATCAGCTGTCTGCAGAGACTTGAATCTATGTCACATGTTATTCCATAAAAATAAAAATAAACTGACTATAAACCAAACAAGAGATAAAATGCAGATATACAAATATTTAAGTATGTGGTCCAGCAGCAGGTCTGCATCTTTCTCTCTTTGCATCCTTTATTCTGTCATGTCTCTCAGTCTGTCTGTCTCTGTCCATCAGTCTGTCAGTCCTCTGCCCTGATAACATCATGTCATCTACACACCAGATTAAAAAACAAACACCCCAATGCCCTTCACTGACACAAACCTCCTCTGAGTATGTGTGTGTGTGTGCAGGTTAGTGTGTTTTACCTTGGTCTTCTTTGTGATGGCCAGTGAGGGAGGTGTTAATGTGAGTAAAACTGGAGGGTTTTGGGTAATAATAAACATGGTAACAGCTGGATATTCACAAACACACTATAGTTCACTCTCACATGTGAGGCTTAGAAAAGGTATGAACCCTGTGAAGATCAGTGTTTCAAGTGTTTCCTAACAACTCTAGTGCAGTTGGCTATTTGGGGACTATGGACAACTACACCTGTTCAGGTCAAAAAGAAAGCTAAATGGGCACTTTGAGATTTGGCCTCAGAATCAACCTTGAGTCATTACGCCCCCTGGTGGAAATGCCTGATCCTCTATTTCTGGTGAGTCTGAGTTTTAGAGTAAATACATAACAAGCATCTTCAAGAGGTTTGCTAGATTCACAACATGATGGTGTAGATTAATCGAAGGTAAAAAGGGAAGCTCTGTCAGGTCTTTTCTCAAAAGGGGAAGGAAACAACTTTCAAAATGTTTGCTTGTTAAAGAAAGGTCGAATCCATTGTTTCTGATGCATTCAAAGACGACAGGAAATCTAAAAACTGAATGTCGTCAATAACACAGCATCAAGCATATTGGTGTCTTAGTGTAAATGTTTTATTGAGAAAAGATTGGCAGAAATAAGTCATCATCTGATTATCTCTAATGGGAGCCAGGATGTCCAAGGTTCAAGGTTCAAGGTTATCCCTGAAAAAAGCAATTTGTTTTTCCGCCAGCAGTGAGGGCAATTTCACTAACATTCTTCCCACAGGAGTAAGACAAGTAAGAACAAGTAATAAGTAAGTAGGTTAAAAAGCCAATGGGAGCAGCTGGGACAGATGAGGTTTTGAGTCTCTTCATCCTGCATTTTGGCAGGCTGTATCTGCAGCCTTAGAGGAGCAGGTTAAACTCAGAGAAAAGAGGGCAGCTATCATCGGCCAAGAGAGATTGTGCCCTCTTTCCTTCTGCTGCTGCCAGTCACCGTTTCCAACACGGGGCTCTCAAGTCTCACGCATTGGGCGTGTGACACACGTATTCCCACCCGTTCACATGCTCACACACATTTAAATAACCACGGTGACGTCCACCAAGTTGTACCTCTTTAACAATGGAACAGGTAGGAACCAAGTGAGTTCCCCTTAGAGTTCAGAAGCTGAGTGTCACGCGCAAGCCAATCAAATAAAATATATTCACCGAACAGCCAATCAAAAGGTAGCATTGCTGTTTCTGGGTAGATTTTGAAGATGGACACTCGCCGAAATGAAGCAGGTTTCAAAAGGATGAGAGAGACCTGATGATTACAGTAAGTTAGTAACCTACACGTAAAGAGGCCTCAACACCTCATGGCATATAGACTCATATGATAAACTAAAGCCCTATGCTATTGCTATTAACAGCTGCATTGACGGAGTTAGCCTCTCTACAGACATTGCCAGCCATTTCCCCCAAAGTCCACCTGTTTTTTGTTTTTTTTTTCCTGTGGAAAAGATGCATTGCTTATATATTCTTTTTAAAGTTCTGATACTCATGACAATGTAATGCTGATGTACCAAAGGATTAAGTATCTCCATGTACTCCAGTAGAATTTATCTAAATGCTCCACAGCCCTCATTTAAACAACTCTCCTTCACAACAGGTAACTTTACTACTTTATCTTCATAAATCAATGACTTAATTCTCTTAAGAAATTACTTTAATCTCGAAGTCTGGTATCTGGTATATTTATTAGATTATTATACTAATACATTATCACTAATCAAGCTTCACCCTTGCCCCCCCCCAAAAAAAAAAAAAAAATAAAATAAATAGATAAATAGAATAAAATAAAATAAATAAATAAATTACTTAATTTAAAAGAATCTCATTCCAAGCTTAGTTCAACACTTGAGAGCCCTGCCAACACCATAACAGACCAGGATGTCCTGGTGGTGGACTGTGTTTCGCCTGCCTTTGCTCTCCATAAGGAGGGCCTCATGTAAACACAAAGTGAATCAGGGCGTGTCTGCTTACCTTCTGGTAGTTAAATGTGCAAAATATGGGTGCTAAGTGATACGCAGGGCAAGAGGTTGAATTAGCTTCCTTGATGTTTCATAGATGTGTTTTGGGCCAATCAGTGTGTCTGCTCTCTTAGCATGCCTACAAATGTATAAAACACATTGAGCCTTTAAAATATCACATTTTCGAAAATTATGACAGGCAAGGTGTAGATCCTGCTGATACCGCTGTTTGTGTGTCTGCTCCCCTGTCCATTTTAACACAGACAACACAACTCCTTTTCAAAAGCATCACCCCTGATTTTGCTGTTACAGCACAGTGCCATGCATACAGTATGTTCGCAAAACCAACCAGTTTCTAAAACGTGATCTGATTAAAATGTGTTAACTGGATCAGATTATTTCTTAAAACAACTACAACAACAACATTTATAGACTGGTATAGACTTTGGTATTTTTTTAATCGTTTGAGCGTTCAGTTTTTCAACTCAGATCCTGTCAAAATACTTGTTTGGGATCAGTTGTTTTTTTTGTTTTTTTTTTTAAACAAACAGGTCCTAGGAGTCATTATACTGTTTGGATACCTTCAAAAAAGTTTTTGTTCTAGATTTGGAAAAAAAAAAAAAAAAAACAAGATTCATGACAAAAGAAATCCTTTAAAATGGACTGAAAGCAACTACCATGGGCAATCTGTGTTGTATTGATCAGTTCAATAAAAGCATAATCGGTCAAACTGGTTCATAAATATCAAACCACAGGTGGACAGAACTGACCGGACTGCATCCTGTCTCTGATATATGAGATGATTGGCCACATAAACAACATCTTTGGGTGTTTTTAACCAATTATTTAACACTAAAATGCTAAATGAGACAACTCAAAGCGAAGTGTTTTCAGCCGAACTTTAAGATACAAACACTTATATCATATCCACTCAATCTAATCTGAATTATCCATCATAACAGAGACCTTGGTTTGCCAGATTCCTCTCCAGTTATTACAGGTTATTACAGCCAATGAAAATAGAAAAACCCGCCTGCTGATTTATCCTCGGGAGCAGTGTGTGCACAGCTCAGCTCATTTCAATCACAAATGGCAGCATCTTGATTTACACCGGCCACTGTTTTAATAGAGCTCGCCATGGCCAAATTCAAACGAGTCCGATTAATCAAATAAACATTCAATATCTCCCATTCAGCAGGCCGGCGGAGAGCGGACGCCGCTTCTCAATATGAATTTTCCGGGAGATTTCTCTATTGATCGACAGACAGATGATTTGTGAGATACATTGTGTTGAGATCGATAAGCGGCCGCTCAATAGCTCATAGGGAGAAATGAAGTGTGGTGACGTGAAGGCCACAAAGTCAAGTCTGCATGTAGTCCTGCAAAGAAGACGTGTATAATATTTTCTGCCAGGCCAGGGATTCGAACCGACAACCTTTCAGTCAGAAAAACTGCTGGTCTACAATCGGGGTAAGAGGTTTAATAAAGAAGAAAGGCGTGCAATGGGGTGGCCAGTGACTTTTACAGCAATCAGACACATGTTTCTGTCCTGCAGACACACACACACACACACACACACACACACACACACACACACACACACACACACACACACACACACACACAGCTTCATACACTCTATTTCACTAAGTTCCACTTTGCTGCTCAGCTCTGCAGGGAGACTTTAGTCTTTGGGGGCTTCTCTGTGTGTGTGCACTCTTATATGTTTCTCTTTGTTGTGTGTGTGTTCAGTGATTCAACTTGCAAGGTCTGGCTTGACTGGTGTGTGTGCTTGTGTGTGGGTGTGCGTGTAAAAGAATGGTGAGGTTAGAGCAGTGTCAAAGCCAAGCGGATGATGAATGGCGTTAGTTTAGTCTGTCATTACAGACTGGTGTTTTATGTAGGGGTCAACTCTAATGGAGAGGAGAGGAGACGAGAGGACAGGAGAGGAGACAAAAGGAGAGGAGACTAGAGGACAGGGGAGGAAAGGAACAATGAAGGACAGATCCGTCATCCCAGTCCAAAATTCTTGCTCTGGTTTTAGAGCCCTGGATTGAGACTAAAGATGTGCTCAAATCAGAAACAAAATAACTTTTGGTAACTTTGGTACCTTAAGTTAGACTGAACACACCATCCATGCTGACAGCATCGGAGCATTAATCACAATGCATTATTTCTTTAATTGGGTGCTATTTTGTCCCTTTTTGTCACCATCCTGCTCTGTATTGATGCTATGATTATGAGGATGACACCACTGGAAAGAATGACTTTATAGTAGGGTGCTAGTTAGCCATCTGGTTCAAGTGCTCCATGTACAGAGGCTACAGTCATTGCAGCAGCTAACAGTTTGACTCCTCTGCAGTGACCCTGCATGTCACATGTCCTCCTCCTCTCTCCACTTCCCCACATTTCTTGTCTCTCTTCAGCTGTCCTGGAAAACAAAGACAAATAAGTACTAAAACTAACTTTGAAAAGGCTTTACAATTTTAAAGTGGACTTAAAACTGTTTTGAAATGCAAAATAATGGAATTTAATGCATGCAGTTAAAAATGGGAACAACCA